TATCAAAGATTATAATGCACTATTTTGAGCAGGGCAGGTCTCTCTGGCACATTATCCATTATCTATTCAGAGCTGACATATAAAAACACATTATCTGGCATCACCTCACTGCCTCGGTGTGGGACTTTGCTTTGTGTAATCTGGCTGCCGTGTTCCCTAACTCATTGGCTGCACTCCAAAATATTTATATTTGACTGATGGTAAAGCACTTTGAGAGCTTCCTGTTTTTAAATATTTATTCATGGGATGTGGGCATTGCTAGCAAAGGCAATAGTTACGACCGACCCCGAACTGCCCTGGAGAAGGTGGTGGTGTGAGCTGCCACAGTCCTTGGGTTGAACAGATATCCACACAGCTGATAGGAAGGGAGATCCAGGTTTATGATCCAACGACAGTGAAGGAACAGTGGAAAAGTTCTATGTCAGGTTTATATGTGGCTTTGAGGGGAACCTGCAGGTGGTTTCTATATATCAACTGCCCTTGTCCTTTTAAGTGTTAGGAGGTCATGGTTTTGGAGGGTTCTGCCTGAAGAAGCTTAATGAGTTACTGCGGTGCATCTTGTATTTGGCTCACACTGCTGTTTTTGTGTGGTGGTGATAGAGGCAACGAACACTGAGGTTGGTGAATGGGGTCCCAATCAAGTGGACGGCTTTGTGCTGAATGTTGGTAAGCTTCTTAAGTACATTTGAAACTGCATTCATTCAAGGAAGTTGTAAGCATTCTATCACACCTCTTACTTGTCACTTGTAAATGGTGGAGAGGTTTTGGGATCAGGAAGTGAGCCATGACCTGCACTGGAATAGCTTAACTAGGGACACAAATGGAGCACAAACTTTCAGTACTCCAGCCAAAATGTTGTTCAGGCCAAAAGCCTTTGCTATATCCAGTTCATTCATAAAATCACCATCATAAAATCTGTACAGTACAGAAACAGGCCATTCAGTCCAACAAGTCCACACCACCCCTCTGAAGTGCATTCCACCCAGACCCATCCTCCAACCCTCTCCCCGTTACCCTGCATTTCCCATGGCTAAGCCACCTAACTTACACACCTCTAGACACTATGGACAATTTAGCATGGCCAATCCACCTAACCTGCACACCTTTGGGCTGTGGGAGGAAACCAGAGCACCTGGCAGAAACCTATACAGACACAGGGAGAATGTGCGAACTCCGCATAGATGGTCGGCCGAAGGTGTAATCGAACCTGGGTCCCTGGCGCTGTGAGGCAGCAGTGCCAACACTAAGTCACCGTGCCGCCTAGCCTTTTCTTGACACAATGAGGAGTGAATCAAATTGACTGAAGATCTATGATGCTATCGATCTGAGGAAGAAGGCAAGTAGATCATCCACTCGGCACTTTTGGTTCCTCCCAATTGATTTGTGAAAATGTTTAAGCCTTGTTTTATTCAAAAAAACTTGACATAAAGGGAGTCATTTCTTCAAGAGTAACAATTTTCCACTTCCATACTTCAACCAATTAACGTTAGTTAACTCAAATGGAAATTTGTATCAAGATATTACCAGTGCATTTCATGTGGGTTTTTAAAGTCAATAGGCAGAGTAAGCTCCCATTTCAAGAGTTGTTGCTATGTTTGAGGGAAATTTGCAGAGGCAAAAAGTTGGATAGCCACCCACTTGTTTCCCCTTGACAGTTTTATTTTTCAAACCACTTTTATTTTCACTTTCTTAATACCTGACCTTGGCAAATGTCCACAGCTGACAGAGCTTCTCCTTGTGCTGTGGAGATAGAGGATTCGGACTCAGAGGGAGGTGTTGAAACTGGTCTGTGTGTTGCATAGCATTCTTCCTGGTCCTCCCTCATCTCGTGGTCTTCCACAGGGTAGACCTGAGAAGGCACAATGACATGGAATTAGACTGCATCACACAACATTGAAGGTTGACCATAAACTTCAGTACAATTAGCACCAGGGTGTTGACCCAATTCATCCACTTCATCTCCATACCATCTCCTACACAAGAGTATACACAATTCATAACAAACAGGGCACATGATCCAGGTTTCCAAGAGACAAGATAATGATACTTGGCTTGCAAGACCTGGACTATGAGGACTGATATAATTATAACAAACCTGAGGCATGGCAAGATGAATTCTCATAGGAAAATTCCCAGTGTGCTTATTTTACAATAATACCTTATATTATAATTCACACTAATTCCGTTGAGTGATCACTGAATCCCATGGGAAATATGTTTGGTTTAACATTAGCAAAAGTATTCAATTTGAATTCAGTCTTCAGAGCATTCCCTAAGTGCAATTCCCCAACAGTAGCGGCACCTCCGACTATGAAGGGCTTCATAAACTGCCTGAACTTGACAAAGTGCATGGTCTTCACATTCTCAGCTGCAAATATTCCAGATGGTGTCACCATACTTCAGTTCCTAGGAGTTCAAATCAATTGGGAATAATCTATTGGAGGGAAATGGACAGACATTTTTTTCCACAATATGCTGAGACAACACTGAAGGGCCATTTTTGGCTTGTTCTCGTTCAGAAGTTTCATCACCATGCTAGGTGACATCATCAGTGTAGCCTCCGATGAAGCGGTGTTATTCTACTCTGCTTGGAATTTATACTGTTTGGTCTCTTATGGCGAGTAGTGTCATTTCCAGTTTTGATCTGTGCGTTCAATTCTATGCGTTTGTTGATTGCATTATGAGTGGAGAACCATGCCTCTAGGAATTCCCGTGCGTGTCTATGTTTGGCTCCCAAGTCTCTGGATTAACAGTCCAGCGATAATACCACTAGGCCATTGCCTTTCCCCAAACTGTTGAAAAGGATCTACCTAAACATAAACTCCATTTAATTTGTTTGCTGAGGGTCTCACTCAGTGAAAACACTCTGCAAGTGTCACTCCTCAATGACCCATCTTGACCTTGACATCTTTGTATGCAATCCTCTGCTGCAGACTCAATGATTGACAGTATGAGTATTAGTTAGAGACAAAAAAACTGCAGATGCTGGAATCCAGGTAGACGAACAGGAGGCTTGAAGAACACGGGAAGCCAGGCAGCATCTGGTGGAAAGGAGCAGTCAACATTTCGGGTATTACCCTTCTTCAGGACTGGATATGGGGGTAGGGCGAGCTGCAAATCAAGGGAGGGGAGGAGTGGAGGCAGAATGGTGGTGATAGGTGGTCACTGGTAGTAGGTACGACTTGGTTGGTCGATGGGAGGGATGATTCTGGTTGGTGGCTGGAAGGGACGAGGTGGGACTGGAAGAGGAGCCGGGGGTTGGGTGGGAAGGTAATTTGAAGTTGGAGAACTCAGTGTTGAGTCCTCTGGTCTGTAGGGTGCCAAGGTAGAAGATAAGGTGTTTTTCCTCAAATTTGCATTCAAAGTTGCTGCGACACTGGAGGAAGCCGAGGACAGACATGTTGGAGGGGGAGTGGGATGGAACGTTGAAATGGGTGGTGACCAGGAGGTTAGGTTGGCTGATACAGGGCAGGCAAAGAAGCTCAGCGAAACAGTCACCTAGTTTACGTTTGGTCTCACCAATGTAGAGAAAACCACATCGGGAACACCAGATGCAATAGACTAGGTTGGATGAGATGCAGGTGAAGTTCTGTCTCACTTGGAAGGACTGTTTAGGGCCCTGAATGGAGGTGAGGGAGGTGGTGTGCAGGCAAGGTATTGCATCTTTTGCGGTTACAGTATAAGATAGTGGGCAGGTTGGAGCGGTTGGTGGGGACTGTGGCACGAACTAAGGAGTAGCAAAGGGGATGGTCCTTGCAGAAGGCAGAGATGGGTGTGGAGTCGATGATGTTCCAGGTGGCGGGGTCTAATTGGAGTTGGCAGAAGTGTTTGAGGATGATATGTTGGATGCGGTGGCTGGTGGGGTGGAAAGTGAAGACAAGGGGGACGTGTTCTTTACTTTTATTTTGGGGGGGGGGGTTGGTTAAGAGCTGTGGAACGGTAAGGGAAGAGGCACAATGGAGGGCTGTCTGGATGACTGAGGGGGTGAAAGAGCGTTGTTTGAAAAAGGCGGACATCCAGGATGCTTGGGAGTGGAATGTCTCCTCGTCAGAGCAGATGTGACGGAGGCAGAGGAATTGGGAAAACAGGATGGAGTTTTTGCAGAGTACAGGGTGGGAAGAGGTGTAGTCTAGGTAGCTATGGGAATATGTGGGTTTATAGTAAATGTTGGTCCATAAACTGTTGTCAGAAATGGAAACGGAGACGTCAAGAAAGGGGAGGGAGGCATCTAAGGTAGACCAAGTGAATTTGAGGGTGGGGTGGCAGCTGTTCGCGAAGTAGATTAACTGCTCCAGTTCACTCTGGGTGCAAGATGCTGCGCCGATGTAGTCATTGATGTAACGGCGGAAGAGTTGGGAAACAGTACCAATGTACATAGTAAAGAGGGCCTGTTCGACATAATCTACAAACAGACAGGTGTAGCTGGGACCCATGCGAGTGCCCATGGCAACCCCCTGGATTTGAAGAAAGTGGGAAGAATTGAAGGAAAAGTTATTGAGGGTGAGGACAAGTTCGGCGAGGCGGAGGAAGGTATACTGGGAGGGGGTGTACTGGATGGGTCTGCTGCAGAGGAACATACTGAGGGCCTACAGACCATCCTTGTGGAGTATGGACATGTATAGGATTGAACATCCATAGTAAAGATGAAGTGCTGGGGACCAAGGAACTGGAAGTTACCTAAGAGACGGAGGGCGTGGTTTGTGTCTCGGATGTAGGTGGGGAGTGCCTAGACGAAGAGGGAGAGAATGGAGTCGAGGTAGGAAGAGATCAGTTCGGTGGGGCAGGAGCACGTAGAGACGATGGGCTGGTCGGGGTAGATGGGCTTGTGGATCTTGGGGAGCAGGTCGAAATAGGCAGTGTGGGGTTGTGGGGAACTATAAGACTGGAGGCAGTGGAGGGGAGGTCACCAGAAGTGATGTGGTCATGAAGAGTATGAGTGTTAGTCTTTGCCTTGAATTTGTTCATCACTAAGTATTGGCATCATCCACTTTGCATTTCATCAACACAATAATGTACTGTTTAAGGAAGGGCACATGTACAATATTCCTCATACATACGTGGTGAAAATGAATGGTTTAGAGGAATAGAAAATGCTTCTGAAATGTTTCACAATATTTTATGATCTATTGTAAAGATTACTGCTGTTTTTTTTTAAATCATGGCGTATGAACATCACTGACTATGCCAGTACTTGTTGCCTATCCCTAGTTGCTCTTGAGATGGTATTTCTTGAAATGCTGCAGTCCATTTAGTGTAGGTAAACCAAAAATGCTGCTAGGAAGACAGTCCCAGGATTTTGGCCCACCAACCATGGAGGAATAATGATATTGTTCCAAGTCAGGATTTCGAGTGTTTTGGATGGAAACTTGCAGGTGATTGTGTTCCCTACTGCCCTTGGGCTTTTGGTGGTAAAGTTCATGAGTTTGAAAGGTTGCGGTGTTCACAAAGGCTAGATGCCAGGCTAGCCAAATCCAGCAGAAGTCTTCAATACCATTCTAAAATAAAAGCCAAGGATCAAGGACTACAAACTTCAGTAACCTAATAATTCAACATTCAAACATACCAAATTAATTTGCTTTGTTCTGTACAGCAAATTCAGATTTTGGGATTTTTGAGAGTCAAATCTATTTTGCTTTTTACTGGACTTTAATGCTCCACCTACTCTCAGATTCAAAGCCATGTGTAAGACACCATGGATTGGACATGAAAAACACCAGAAACTAAACTTACATCTACTTTATTAAACAAGAAGACTTCTGCACATACCTTTTAAAATTATGAATGGCTTTAATAGGACAGACACAGTCGAATTATGTCCATTTTTGGAAAAACCGAACTAGGCATAGTAGATGTTAAGATTATAAACTAGACACCAAGAATACAGTCACTAACAAATCCAATAAGAAATTCAGGAAAAGGACTTGACCAGAGTGTCGATAATGTGACACTGTCATTTTGTAGTTCAATGGCATAGGTGCGTTCAAGGGAAAGTTGATAAACACAGGGGAAAAAGAAACAGAAAACAATGCTGATACAGTCAGGTGGGGAGCACTGGGTGGAGGCTTGTGCACAGCATGAAGACTGGCATTGAGCTCGTTGGGAACTGTACATTTTGTGTAATTCTTTATAATAGGTAAGAACAGGTCTCAGCCACAGCCTTGACTAGCAGCAGTACACATACGTAACAAATAGACCAAATCAATTCACCTTCCTTTGATGACACATGCAGCCAAAATGCAATCGTGTGGAAGAATGCTTCAAGGCTGCTTATCAGAAAGGTTAGAATAACTTATAATTGGCATTTTGTGTGTGCCATCATGTTGTTGAAAGCAAATCTGAATGGGCACATACTCAGCTGAAATTCATATTTATCCAAACAAATCTGAAACTATCTGATTCAGACTATGGGTAAAGACTCCTATTAGAAACATGACAGTTCTGATTCAAGATATATGCATAAGGGAGTCACGATTAATTTGGAAGGTAACTAGATTGAGATGTTGAAGAATTAAAGTTTCTTGTTTTAAGGTGCTTTTCTTGGTAAACAGTTTCCATGTTTGCCCACTGCCCAAAGGACAGTCAGAATAGATGCTGTCAAGCCTCTGCTATCAATCCACCATTGGTTGCTATGAGCTATTTGCATTACCATCCAATTCCTCCCCATCACGGCTTACATTTAGAATCTTCTCCAATAGTACAGCTGAGATCACAACCTTGCAACATTTCTGAAGAAGGGTCCAGACCTGAAACGTCAGTTTTCCTGCTCCTCTGATGCTGCTTGGCCTGCTGTGTTCATCCAGCTCGACACCTTGTTATCTTGCAACATTGGAATTTGGCCATTGCTTACCTTGTTCATGTCCTCTATGGGCTCAAAGTACCTGGAGTGCAAAAGCATTGTAACCCAACCATCAAAAATAGAAATTGCCTTGGATATGGTCTAATGCCTCTTCTCTAGTGACTTCACATCCCAGTAGTAATCAGCTTATGGGTAAATGATCACCATCATGTGAGACACAAAATACCTTGTGTTTGATGGGTGAACAAAGACTAATAAATGTTGACAGTGAATATTATTTGTTGGAATTCATGGAGCCCTTTATCGCTAGACAATAATTTAATTTTGATGTCTGTTGGTTTCTGTAGAGGTAGGGCAAGAAGGGCTGGAAGATGTATTCATGACTGTGCCATTGGTACAGTGAGTAATTTGATTGTAAATTATGCTAGGTACTGCGTGATGCAAACTGATAAACCAGAGATTGTATGTTCACTTATGGGATGTTGGTATTGTTGGAAACCTCAGCATTTATATCCCATCCTTAATTGTCCTTGGGTAAGTGGTGATGAGCTGCCTTCTTGAAATGCTACAATCCATGTGATACAGATACACCCACCATGCTGTTATACTGAGGGGGTTCCAAGATTTTGAACCAGTGATAGTGAAGGAACTGAGATATAATCCTAGGTCAGGATGGTAAGTGGCTTGGAGGGGAACTTACAGGTTTTGGTGTACTCATGCAGCTAATGTCCTTGTCTTTCGAGATGGAGTAGATCAGGGTTTTGGAATGCGCTATCTAAGAAGTTATTGTGAATTGTTGCAACGTGTCTTATAGATGGTACATACTGCTACCATTCTGCATCAGTAGTGGAGGGAGTGAATGCTGAAAGTAGCTGAAAGCACCATTTTTGCAGTCAGTGGGCACACTCAAAAGCTATGGGAACTTTCTTATAAAGAACTGGACTTACTGTTCACTGAATGAGCCTGAATCTTAAAGACAAATCATTCTGAAAATCTCACTCAAATTCTAGTGTTTACTGCCATTCAAACACAACTGCCTGACAATAACTGTTGGATCAGAAAGCAATTGACTGGATTGGACAATGAGTTTCCTTAAAAGAACGTGAAATGCACAGAATCAGAATAAAGCAAGTTAATACATTCAATGCTGAAGCCAAATATACCAACAAGTGGTTAATTCTCATAAAAGAAAACTATTTTTCGTGCAAATTGTAAAACATTCAATGAATCCCTACCAGTGGCGCATCCACTGGAGCTGAAGGCTGGACTTGAAGATTAACAGCAATGGTCTGGGGTGGGGGAAGAGCCTGGAAGGGCATTTGAATCAGAGCCTGGGCAGCAGGGAGTTGTTCCCGTGAATGTAGAACAGTCTGTGGTAGCACTTGAGTGGAGGAAACAATGTCTGATGGTACCGTCAGGTTCTGCACTGACTGCAACGGCAGCCGCTGGAGGTGACCTGGGGCCGTTGACGGAACTTCTTGCAAAGGTGACACCAGCGTTGGATGTTGCTGCTGGGGTGGAGTAGATAAGTGCGTTGTCACTGGACTTGACTGTCGCAAAGGCCCAATCTGAGCGACCGGTGAGCGATGGGCAGGCAGTATGTGCGCTGGCTGTGGCTGTTGGCTTGGTGGCACATGAGGTGAGGTTGGCTGCTGGCTGGAGCCCAACGGCAGATGCGTGTGAACCAGGCTGTGAGACTGCGTCTGTATTAGTGCCTGCGGCTGGATGATGATTGTAGATGCTGGTGGGCTCGGCGGCGACTGAGAGGGTACTGGAGAGACCACAACCGTCTGCTGCTGGCTCTGAGGATGAGAGTGAGCTGAAGGTTGGCTCAATGGTTGGCTATGGGCCTGGGTTGATATACAGTGAGGCGATTGGGAAGAGGCCTGGATTAGCGATTGACTGTGGGGTTGGATTGGCAGGCAGTGCTGAGACTGTGGAGGGTCAGAAGCCTGGGCCTGAAGAGCGAGAGGCTGCAGTTGCTGTCTGTGTTGGATCTGCTGCTGGATAATAAGTTGATGATGTGCTTTCGGCGTTGATTGGTGCAGTGGAATCTGCTGCTGTTTAATCAGCTGGTGTGCTTGAATTGGTGTGTAGGGTGCTAGACAGGACAAACAACAGAGTTAATGGACAAGAAGAATCTCGTTTTTTCCTCTGAAGGAAGTATCAACAAAAAAAACTTCATAATCAATTGTTAAATATCAAAATTACAATGCATTACTCTTAACTTTCCTAATTCAATGGACTTTTTTAGGAATAAATTATACAATGAAGGAAGTATCTTGGAAGAATTTACCAATTCTTCCAGTGAAAGAAAGGCAAATTGCATTGTTTCAATCATTATTAACTTAAGTCAAGAGACTTCTTTTTTTTCCTTTATTCATTCACGGGCTGAGGACATTCTTGGCTAGGCAGCATTTATTGCCCATCCCTAATTGCCCAGAGGGCAGTTAAGAGTCAACCACATTGATATGGGTCTGGAGTCACATGTAGGCCAGACCAGGTAAGGATGGCAGTTTCCTTCCCTAAAGGGCATTAGTGAACCAGATGGGGTTTCCTAACAATTGACAATGGATTCACGGTCATCATTGGATTCTTAATTCCAGATATTTATTGAATTCAAATTCCACCATCTGCCATGGTGGGATTTGAACCCAGGTCCCAAGGACATTATCTGGGTCTCTGGATTAACAGTCCAGCGATAGAACCATTAGGCCATTGCCTCCTGACTGAACGGCCTATTCCTGTTTCTAAATTATTCTGTGACCTATTTTTGAATTCATCTTCTGTTACCATCTGATTTTGTGCAAGAAGAAGCTACGTCTGAACAACATTTCTTATGACTTCACAAGATGTCGCTGCACCAAGTTGCCTTACATCCTTTGAAGTTTAGAAGCAAGCAAGGTGATCTCTCTGAAATGTACGTGGTTCTTATAAGGCTTGACAGACTGGATGCTGGGAGATGTTTGCCCTATATGGGAGTCTCAAACCCAGCACCACAGTCCCAGGTGAAGGGGTCAGAAGTGTATTCACTCAAAGGTTCCTGAATCTTTTAAATTCTGTACGAAATAGAACAGAGGGACCTAGGGATGCAGATATGTAATTTTTTGAAGTTTGCATCACATATAGACAGGGAGGTTAAAAAGGTGTTTAGCACGCTTGCCTTCATTGCTTAGTCCTTTCAGTATAGGAGTTGAGGTGGTGCAGGACACTGGTGAGGCCTCCTCTGGAATACGATGTCCAGTTCTGGTCGCCCAGTTATAGGAAGATTATTTCCAAGCTGGCGAGGGTTCAGAAGAGATTTACCAGGATGTTGTCGGGTATGGAAGATTTGAGTTATAAAGAAAGGCTGGGGCTTTTCTTCACTGGAGCGTGGGAGGTTGAGAGGCGACCTGATGGAAGTTTATAAACTTCTGAGAGGTATAGATAGAATTAATGGTAGTTGTCTTTTCCCTAGAATGGGGGCTTTCAAGACTAGGGGACACATTTTTAAGGTGACAGGAAAAAGATTTAAAAAAGACATGAGGGGCAAACTTTTTTACATGGGGGCAGTTCATGTGTGGAATTAACTTCTTGAGGAAGTGGTGGATGTGGGTACAATTATACCATTTAAATAAGTACATGAATAGGAAAGGTTTGAGGAATATGGGCCAAAAGCAGGCAGGTGGGACTAGTTTAGTTTGGGATTATGTTCGGCATGGACTAGTTGAACCGGAGGTTCTGTTTCTGTGCTGTATGACCCTATGACTCAAAAGAGAGTTGTGAATGCTCCATTATATAGTCAATACAGAGATCAACAGATTTTGAATGCTAAGGAAATCAAGGAACAGGAGGACAGATTGGCAAAGTGAAACGAAGGTTAAAAAAAAATCAGTCATGAACAAACTGAACAGTGGAGCAGAGCAGGCTTGAGGGACCATATCTTTCATGGGATGTGCATGTTGCTGGCAAGGCCAGCATTTATTACCTATCTCTAACTGTGCCTGAGATATGTG